TCTGTTTGAAGTGTACTTTAATATGCCACTTACTAACCTCACAATTTTCTTTATGTGGAGACACCTCAAAAATTACAGCCATAATAAAAACTTGATTATTTAGAACAGCCACTCCAATAAGCTTAAGTACACTTGGAGATCAACAGGCCAAACTGTTGGACTCCTGTTTCTTTAGGCAATCAGTACCAAGTATAAAGGATGAATAAATGTGACACAAGGCCTGCACTTTTTACTAATTTCTTTTGTCCTATTTTATACAATAGTATTTAATTACTAGGAAGTCAGACACACATCATTTTAATGAAACATAAAATGATAGAGAATTTGTAAAATAAGTTAGAGACAAGGAATAAAGACTCCAGAGTATGAACAACATAATACACATTTAAGAAGGGCAGAAGTCCATTTTCAAAAGGATAGGATGGGATTAGTCACTTCCATACTAAAGTGATTTTGTGCCCCATGTTATTACATAGGAAAGGGCATAAACAAAAGCCCCACCCCATTTTTCCCCCTTTCTTTTTTGAACCAAAGCTGACATGTTGTGGACCTGATCCTTAGAAGTGCTTAGGGTTGCCAACTTTCCAATCACACGAAACCGAACACCCTAGCCCTGCCCCTTCCCTGAGGCCCTGCCCCCCACTCACTACATTCTCCCTCCCTCGGTTGCTCACTCTCCTCCCTCCCTCGCTCCCTCACTTGGGTTGGGGTGGGGTGAGGGCTCTAACTGGGGGGGTGTGGGCTCTGGGTTGGGGCCAGAAATGAAGGGTTCAGGGTGCAGGAGGGGGCTGGGGTAGGGGATTGGTCTGTGGGAAGGGGTGCGGGCTCTGGAGTGGGGCCATGGATGGGGGTTTGGGGTGCAGGAGGGGGCTCCAGGCTGGGGGGTGGGGCAGAGGGGTTGAAGGTGTGGGAGGGGGTTCTGGGCTGGGGCAGGGGGTTGGGGTGCAGCAGGGGTGAGGGCTCCATCTGTGGGTGCAGGGTTTGGAGTGGGGCTGAGGATGAGGGACTTGGGGTGCAGAAGTGGGTTCCGGGTTTGGGAGGGGGCTCAGGGATGGGGCAGGGGGTTGGGGCGCAGGCTTACCTCTGGTGGCTCCCGGTCTGCGGTGCAGCGGGGGGGGGGGAAACTAAGGCAGGCTTCCTGCCTGTCCTGAGTCCACGCTACGCACCAGAAGCGGCCAGCACTGCAGGTTCGGATCCTAGGTGGAGGCGTGGCAGGTGGCTCTGCGCGCTGCTCTGTCCCGCGGGCACCGCCTCTGCAGCTGCCATTGGCTGCGGTTCCTGGCCAATGGGAGTGTGGAGCTGGCGCTCAGGGTGCGGGTAGCGCATGGAGTCCCGGTGGCCCCCTGCCTAGGAGCCGGACCTGCTGGCCGCTTCTGGGGTGCAGCACAGAGCCAGGACAGGTAGAGACAAGCCTGCCTTAGCTCTACAGAACTGCCGACCGGCGGTGCTGACCGGAGCCGCCAGGTTCCCTTTTCGACTGGGTGTTCTGGTCAAAAAACAGACATCTGGTCACCCTAGAAGAGCTGAGTGAATCAGGCTCTTAAGGTAAAAGTAAATGTAGAATTTGGTGTAATTTATTTAGTTTTTGCTGTAATCATTTTACACAAGCTAAACGTAGAGAACTGTTGGAGCACAGCCTTATTTGATGGCTGATATATTACAGATATTGTTTACCTAGTCATTGCTTTTCGAAAACTTCAGAATACAAAAGATGGGGACTGTGTGTGTGGGTGGCGGGGGGGAATTTACCTGTGTGTTTTGTTTTAGATTAAGGCTGAACTAATATTCGTTTTAGTCAAGATCCAATATTCAAGTACAATATATAGGGTATATGCGTTTTTTTTTTTTTTTTTTTTTTACTGACGATAGATGAACTGTTGTGCCTCCGTTATGATATGGATTTATCCACGTGTAAATTTGTAGACAATATGAAAACTTCAGCCAGTGAGTATCTACCTAATATCAATCTGTTCTGTACAGAGATTTAAAAAAAAAAAAAAAACACATCAATTACAA